GGGGATATGTTATTTTGGTTTTTCATGTTACTATTTTTTCTCTGTGGTTTTCTCTGTGGTGAGGCCGGGGCCAGGTCCAGAAGCAGTGTTCCTGGGGCCTAAGGAAGGCACTAAGTTGGTCTGGGTGAAAAAGATCAGGAAACAGTATTGGTTCCCCAGGTGTCTGGGGACCCAAGACTAGGAATGGCGCAGGGCCCAAACTAAAAGTAGAGAACAGCGGGGGAGATGGAAGGGTGAATGAGGCCGGGGGAGTCAAGGTGTGGAGGGCTCCGATAGACTTACCCCAAGAGAGGCCTGAGGGTAGGGAGAGCAGGCTAGGAGAGTTAGCCAGTGGTGCACGTCCAGGGAAGCAGAGAGAGGTGAGGGCGGGGCCAGGTCCAGAAGCAGTGCTCCTGGGGCCCAAGGAAGAAGGCACTAAGTTGGTCTAGGTGAAAAGGATCAGGAAGCAGTATTGGTTCCCCAGGTGTCTGGGGCCCCAAGACTAGGAAGGCACAGGGCCCAAACTAGGAGTAGAGAACAGTGGGGAAGATGGAAGGGTGAATGAGGCTGGGGGAGTCAAGGCGCAGAGGGCCGCGCGATAGACCTAGCCCAAGAGTCCTGAGGATAGGAGAGCAGGTTAGGAGAGTTAACTGGTGGTGCAGGTCCAGGGAAGCAGAGAGAGGTGACGGCAGGGCCAGGTCCAGAAGCAGTGCTCCTGGAGCACAAGGAAGGCACCAAGCTGGCCTGGGCAAAAAGGATCAAGAAGCAGCACAGGTTCCCCAGGTGTCTGGGGACCCAAGACCAGGAATGGCACAGGGCCCAAACTAGGAGTAGAGAACAGCGGGGGAGATGGAAGGGTGAACGCGGCTGGGGGAGTCAAGGCGCGGAGGGCTGAGCGATAGACTTACCCCAAGAGAGGCCTGAGGGCAGGAGAGCCTAACTAAAATATTTTTTAAAACATAGACTTGATAGGGGTTGGAGTGATTTCTTAGCAGTTGAGAACGTTGGCTGTTCCTACAGAAGATCCGGGTTCGAATCCCAGTACCCAAATGGCAGCTAAAAACCATCCATATCACCAGTTCCAGGGGATCCGACAGCCTCTTTGTCTTCCGCAGGCATTGCACGACATGGGTGTTACCTACATGCAGGCAATACACGCATACACATAAAAATAATGAATAAAATATTTTTTTAAAATAGACTTAATAGAATTGAATAAAAGGGTAATTGTTGAGTTGAACATCTGTGTTTTTTCTTTCCTAAAGGCCCAGCAGTGCTTTTGTGCTGAACACACACTTCCATACATTGCCAAGTAGTCCCGGTCTAGTTCTGTGAATACTGGACTAGCTAGAAAAGGGCAATGTATGATGAAACACTGATAATTCCTAAAGAATCTAAGTCTTCTTGTTTCTCTTCTCTTACAGAAAATGAAGGAGTACCTGGAGGGTAGGAACCTCATCACCAAGTTACAAGCCAAGCATGACCTCCTACAGAAAACCCTAGGAGAAAGTGAGTGTGGAAATGCTTTGCTGGAGGCTGGCTGTGCAGGGAGGCCCAGCAGTGCTTTTGTGATGAACACACACCTCCATACATTGCCAAGTAGTCCCAGTCTAGTTCTATGAATACATTTCTTTCCCGAGCCTGTTTAATGTGAAAGTACCTGTCCCAAATGTCTGCTGGACTAATGGGAAGAGTGCAGTGTGTGATCAAACACTGATAATTCATCAGCTGTTTTTTTTAAATGGAGCATCCCTGCTTTCCACCCAAGCTCCCTCCTTCACCTTCCTGCCACAACTGTGGTGAAGGGACTGCCATGTTATTTCCTCTCCAGGCCCTTCATTAAAATTCCAAGTTCTGAAGAGGGAGAAGATCCCTCAAATGGAGGGGTGATGGACAGACTGTTGCCTTCTATAGCGTCTGGGATGAGCATTCATTTCCTTCTGCTAGGAAGAATCCTGAGTCAGCCTAACTAGCAGCCCTTTCTCTGCTCTGGCTGTACTGAGACCGTAGTGCTGAATGGACTGTCTCATCTCGGGCAGTAAACTTAACCAGACACTGGAAAATCTTGTGGCAGAGAACTAGATAGTCATTCTGGTCTTTGTCTCCTCTGTCAGCCATCAAACAGAAGATAAAAGTTGAAAAAGAAGCTTTCCCAGTATTATTTGGCATCCTGCCCAGGTCTCCTGTCTAATTCTCAGCATTTCTGTGATTAATGGAACTCCCAGGTTAGGGATGCCTCTGAATGTTCTGCCCCTTCTTGCTGCGCCAACAGTCTCTCTTAAAGATGAAGCCATAGGGAACATGTGGTCCCCTCAGTGACAGATGAGCTTACACTTACACAAATGTCTTACTTAACATTTTAAAATAAATTCTTGAACACTCATCAGACAAACTATGAAGTATGGAAAATTTATAAGACTCAGCTTATTAACCCAAGAATCTAGCTTTCAGACCAGACCCACCTACCTCCTTCCCTTGTGCTTTTCCTGCTCTTTTTTTCTCTAGTATCTTTGATCTTGTAATTTTTTTCTTAATTTTATTTATTATTTTTGTTTTATGTATATGCGTGTATTGCCTGCATGTAGGTAAGTGCACCCATGTCTGTGCAATGCCCGCAGGGGTCAGAAGAGGCTGTCGGAGCCCCTGGAACTGGAGTTATGGACAGTTGTTATCTGCCATGTGGGTGCTGGGATTCGAACCTGGGTCTTCTGCAAAAACAACCAGTGTTCTTAACCGCTGAGCCATCTCTCCAGCCCCAATATTTTTTTTAAAGATGTTTTCTTTAGTGTGAAGAAAGCCTTTTAGGTAGCTTCTGTTCTCTTTCTACCCAAGCAACTCAAGTCTAGGCATTGAAAGCCATAGTTTGCCTATAGAAAATATTTACTCTTGAGTTATTAGATTGCTCCATGGGGAAATGAAGAAAAGATAGCCCAAAACTATTTGAAGCAAGTTAGAGCTGTGATTTCTTTTTCTCCAGACAATCTTAGCATAGTCCATAAGACAGGGGGAAAAGGAGCCGCGTGTGTGTGTGTGTGTGTGTGTGTGTGTGTGTTCCTACACATATATGCGCCAAATATACTACTTCAGGGGGATGAAGATTGACCTTCATCAAGTGCTGCAAATCATCATAATTTAAAGATGACAAGTTCCAGCAGTAAAGGAAAGTAATAGCTGTAAATCTCCCTGTGTACAAGTCATCATGTCTCTGCCTTTTGTATTTGTCATCATAAAGCAAGTCTCTTATTTTTGCCACAGAAGGAGAATTGATGTGTATGAGTATTCCAGAATGACAATGGAACAGATGTTGAAAATAATGACTCAGAATAATATTTTTGCAGATGAAAGCTGAGCCTTTGATAACATGGTTATTAGAGACTGGGGGTGGTATTGCTAAAGATGAGATAAACTATCTTAGCTAGGTGGTATTGCTAAAGATAAGATGAACTGTCTTAGCAATTAGCATGCTTTATGGGGCTGGAGAGATGGCTCAACGGTTAAGAACACTGGTTGTTCTTGCAGAAGACCCGGGTTCAAATCCCAGCACCCATATGGCAGATAACAACTGTCTGTAACTCCAGTTCCAGGGGATCTGACAGCCTCTTCTGTCCTCCTCGGGCATTGCAGGATGCGAGTGCACTTACCTACATGCAGGCAATACATGCATACACATAAAATAAAAATAATAAATAAAAAAAATAGCATGCTTTTTTAATGCAAGAAGCCCTGCCTTCTCCTCAGATCTTGAAGTTGCTGTTCCAGGAGCCTGAATGATAAGCGTGGGAGCTGGTCTCTTCTTGCTTAGTACCTGCTAGGGTTTCCCCCGATGTATCTAATACAGGTCTATGACAGACCAAGCTTCATTAGCTGTGGACCAAAAAAAGGCAACATGTTACATCATGGCCCGTGTATACACGTATATGTTTTTTTTTTTAAAGAAGAATATTTCTCTTTTTTAATATTTATTTTTGTTATATGTTTTTATTGAATTTTTGTGTACTTCATATGCAACATCTTAATCAGCTTTATATCCCCTTCCCCATCAACACCCTCCCATAGCCCCTACACTGGATTTCATTCTTTCTGTCATTTATGTTAAGGCTTATAAAGTCAAGTTAGTGTCCCTTGATGTCCTTCAGTGCAAGTTCATCCACTGGATCTAGTCAGCTTATCTAGAGTCACTCCCTTAAAGAAGATCTGCTCTTCCTCACCCAGCAGTAATCAGCTGCCCAATATTCTTTGGCTGTGAATGAGACCTGCTGCTCCATTTCCCCAGTTCTATGCTGGGTTTTTGTCTGCTTGAGTTTGCATGGGTCTTGTGCATGTTATCACCGTTGCTGTTAGTTCATCTTAGCATGGTTCCGGGAGCCTCTAAAATTTTATTTCCGTATTGTCAGGCAACTCCTCCCCCTGGCTCTTATAATCTGCCTCCCCCCCACCTTCTACAATGGTCCCTAAAAAGAAGAGTATTTCTTATGAACTTTATGGATTTTCATTCCACTTTCCAAAGCTATGACCCATGAAAATACTATCACCTGCCATCAGATTGAAAGACATCATTTGCTAGCCACATATATATTAAATCTCATCTCTGCCTTACCATACAGTCTAACAGAATTTTGTATGAGTCTTAAATGAGAACATGTGTATCTTTTCCCTTCTCACTCCAAACTCCTTTTTCTTCTTCCCTTCCCAATTTCAACTATATGTATGTATATTGATCATATACTCACAAACAAACAAGTTTGTCCCATGTCCTGTGTCCCCAAAACATAATTTTCATCACCACTACACACATACCCAGCATATACAATAATAAGTTGAATTTCACATCTGAGAAGTCTTGCAATAAAGTATGATTTGACTTGTTCCCATACATCCACACTTGTTTCCTCATTTGGGAAGCAGACTTAATAAACCTTGCTATAGGAACCAACAGCAGCAGAGTTCTTGCCCAAAATGAAATGGGTCAATTCTGTTCTTTTCTGTTGCTGTCTCTTTAGGAAGATAGGTATAGCATGGTAATTCTGAGGGTATACAACCCTCTCCTTCACCCCTTCTGCTTCAACATGTGCATTTTGCCTTTGTCTTTCCACAGGTCAGCGGACAGATTGCAGTCTGGCCAGGTAGGTGGCCCTGGGAAGGGATAAGGAGAAGCTCATAGGGAACAGTAACCCCAGTCTGCGAAAGACCCATGGAGTTTCATTGTGAAGACATTGAATGTCTGGAAAGGAGTGGCCTCAGACAGGAGTTGCTTCCTTCTCTTTGCCTTATTAATTACGTCTGCTCTCAAAGGGTGATAGCGTGCTTACTTCTTAGGGATATCTGAGAACAGTGTCATGGGAGATATCACTTGAAAATTCCTCCCAGAGACTCTCAAAAATCTCTCTATTAGCAATGAAAATAAGCATTTGACTCTGGATCCTGGTAACCTAACGCTAGCTGGTAAACTTCAGCATGTGGGATTTGGAAAATCTGACAGAGAGAAAGATTAGGTGATAGTATTTGAGGATTTTTTTTTTTTTTTAATGCATGGAAAAGATGATAGCCTCTAATTGGGGACTGTTGGTGGATAATGAAATATCCACCAGTATTGCACTGGCTTTCCAAATAGCCTTAGTAGACATCTTTGCCTGGTGTACAAGTATGCAACCATCCCAGTCTTACCCTACCCTCCCTCCCTCTCACCCAAGTCAAATATTTTTCCTCCCAGTCATGGTGCCACTATGAAAAAACTCATGCACTGGCTGAGACATTCACAGCTCAGATGCCTAAAAATGTGCTAATTTAAATGGAGGAAGAGCTTTAATGGATCAGATTCCATTATATCAGCTATTTGAATCTGCCAACAAATACAATCATGATGCCATTACAATTATAGACTCATTATTTAGTGACAACTTGACTTTCATCATTTTGTCATTGTGGATTACAACTAAGGTCTCATTAATCTACCGTTCTTGAGAACTAGAGGGGTGGAGGATGGTACTGGAGGAGGATGAAATTCTATAGAATCAATCTTCTTAACTCACCAGAGGTCCCATGTCTCTGGAAAGACTAAAAAGACCTGAAGTAACTCCCCTGTCCCTAGGTTATTTCACCATGTGTGAACTTGGACTATTTCTTTCTCCTCTCAGAATAATCAGTTTCCTCTTGTAGAAGACAAGAGCATATTAGATCAGAGAAGCTCTAGGATTTCAATGAGTCTCCTTAAGGGCAGGCTGGCAACAGAGGCAGAGCAAGAACCAGTTTCATAAAGCTAGGCGTCAGTGCCTGCCTTGTTTTGAGTATCATGCTTATATGAGTCTGATTCCCTTTAAGAAAAAGGCTTCTACAGCTAAACACAGCATGAAAAGCACCAACAGAGGATCCCAAAGGTTCCTTCCAATTTGATTGTCGTACCATTGAAATCCAGAAAATAAATAGTAATATCCTTTGCTGTTTCTCAGAATTTCCTTTCAAATTATCTCAAATATATTTTACTGCAAATTGAACCATTTGCCTCCTATATAAATTTTGAATAACTGTGGATATTAAAAGCTTTGTGCTTTTTATGAAAGAATAAACTTTATCAGGCTTTATTAGGAAATAACTTGTCTTTTAGCCATTTCTAGGAATGAATTCAACAATATGACTTGTTTCTTTAACCACTTTACAGTTGTTTTTCATGGTTTAAAGCTTTAGTTATGGATTTAAGAGTGATTGTCTCATTCTCTCTTTTTCCTTCCTGTTGCTGAATTGGTCCTTTCTGTTTCATGGGTCAACAACAGGCGTAGTTCAACTGTGAGGAAACAGGTAAGAACCCAGAAAGAGCCAGACTGGTCTGACATGAATATCAAATATATCCTTTAGCACACCTGTGGACAGGACAGACATTTCTTTGACTTTATGTTGTGTTCAGAATGTATACTTTATTCACAATATAGTTAGGATTGTAGCAGCTTCATTGATTTAACTTCTTGGAGTTTGTTCTTGGAATTGTTCTTTATGGTTTGTTCTCCTTGTTAGTTATTTAACTCTCTTACATATTCGAGGTTTGGCTCAAACTGGGACAAATTGTGTCACATCTACCTATGATGTCTTATTTTAGGAGACCCATAAAGAGGCCCCACACTTGCATACATATACACTAATATACCAGTAACTTAAGGTGGCTGATCCCTTATCCAAAGAGTCTTATTTTAAGTTTGTAGGTTTTGCTTGCTTCTGATAGTGATCTTCTTAAATATATTTCTGACATATGCTAATAATGCAGAGCTAAATCTGGTTTGGGAATAGTAAGAAGTGCTCAACTCAGCAAGTTTGCACATGGCTTTCACCCTTACTGCCACTGAGGTGCCAGCTCTTACTCACATTAGGAGAGCAGTCACTTGAGTAATACACATCACTGGAAATCTCAGTAACACTGGTACTTGTTTTAAAAGAAAAAAAAAAATAACAGGACTATATTTTTTTAATATTTTATTTTTTTATGTGTATGAGTGTATTGCCTGCATATGTGTGAGTGCACCTGTGTTGTGCAATGCCTGCAGAGGTCAAAGGAAGGCATCAGATCCCCTGGAACTGGAATTACAGACTGTTGTTAGCCACCATGTGAGTGCTGGGATTTGAACCTGGGTCCTCTGCAAAAGCAGTCAGTGCTCTTAACTGCCAAGCCATCTCTCCAGCCCAACAGGAGTATATTTTTGTATTAGCAAAATTTGACTTCCTAATTATACTTTATGGTAAATATTGAAATGATTTCATGTTCTGTTAGCTCACACCAGTTTTGTAGAAGGAAAAATTAGCAAGAACAGTAGGGAATAGGGCTCAGAAATATCTGTCTACCCAGGAAAAGCTGATCCAGGCCTTTAAAAAGCATTTAGGGGAGCTGTAGAAAATGGCTCAGTGTTAAGAGCACTTGCTGCTCTTCCAGAGGACCTGAGTTTAGTTCCCAGCACCCATGTTAGGTTGTTTACAACCAACTGTAACTCTAACTCCAGGGAATCCAGTACCCTCTTCTGACCTCCATGGGCTCCTGTACACACATGGCAGGCACACATAATGACACACAAAGGTAAATATTTGTTTAATGTCATTTGGGGTAATTCACAGAGGCTGTAGACATGGGGCAATAATCAGGTATAGAGGATGCAGGGTTTCTGTGATGTTGCTGGCTTCAGTGCTCTCTTCAGGAGTCTGACTACTCTAGCTCAGTGGGCAGTACAGTTATGGAATTCATTTGACACAGACCTCATTTGTTTTAGCTTTGTTGTAATTTTTATTTTGAATGCAATTTTAGCAAGAAAAGGAAATCTTTTCTTTTTAAAGGCAGGTCTCCCTGACCTTGAATTTGTAATCCTCCTGCTTCTACCTCACAAGAATTGGGATTATAAGCATGTGCCATCAGGCCTGATTATACACTTTTTAAATGATAAAAATTTCACTATAACTTTCCACTATCTTATTCCTCTAACTCTTTCTTCCCTTTTCGCCCACTAGCAAGAAAAGGAAATCTTTTCTTTTTAAAGGCAGGTCTCCCTGACCTTGAATTTGTAATCCTCCTGCTTCTACCTCACAAGAATTGGGATTATAAGCATGTGCCATCAGGCCTGATTATACACTTTTTAAATGATAAAAATTTCACTATAACTTTCCACTATCTTATTCCTCTAACTCTTTCTTCCCTTTTCGCCCACAATTTCTCTTAAAACTGGAGTAGAGTAGAATGCTTTTAGAGCATTAATTTTAAATTTAAAATTAATAGAT